CTTTGACCAAGCTGGAGTTGGTAACATCTCGCCAAGCCCTCAGCCTATCCCTTGCCCTATGGATGTGCACACACCCCTCGGTACTTGCTGAGTCTGAGTCAGTCTGTCTATTCTTTCTGCATTGAGTCTCTTCTGTCCTAGGTCATAGTACTCTGTGGATGAAGGATAGGGCTTGGATGACGAAACCCTAGTCTGACCTTGTAGGGCTGAGACTGTGGCTGATCCAACTTTCCAGGGGGGCATAACCCTCCCAAGGACCGGTGCTGACCGGCTAGAAACGGTTGGTAGGACTCAGTGGGTCTGAACGGCAGTTAGGGCTGACACACCAGGCAGTCTTTAAATGTTGAGGGCCTGTTTGAACCACTCCCCTACTGGACCAAGTAAGGTTGAGGATCTGTGTCTGACGACTCGACTGTCCCGGAGGTCAAACCCTCCAAAGGACCGGTACAGACCGGCGGGCTGCTCGGTGTGACACAGTAGGCCGGAAAGGCTGAGTTGTGGGCTGAAAGCACAGGCAAAACCAAGCTGATCACGTCGTCCTGTCTGCGACGTTAAAGAATTCTTGCGGAGTTACGGGGGATCTCCTTAAATGCCTCCTGATCAGCCACTGGTTCAGTAGTGACAACCATAGCTCAGGTCTAGGCTAGAGATCCTAGTTGGCAGGATCCCTGTCAGGATTCTGTGAGTCTTTGATTGAGTCAGTAGGTCTGTCAGTCAGGGGTTAAAGTCTACGTGGTGAGGAGTGGAATCATTCTGATTGTGCACCTATCACCATGGTTGAGACCCGTAAAGGGACGATTACTACCCCCTATACCGCTGAGTAGCAAGAGAAAATGGCCGCCTTAGTGAAAGAAAATAGGGAGAGAAAAGAGTGTGAAAAGCAGGCGAAGTAATAGGCGATTGCAGAGGAACAGGCGACAAAGATGAAAGAAATAGAGGAGGAGATGGAGAGGAAGAAGAAGGCTGCTGAAGAAGAAGCGGCAGCAGAGGAAGAGAAGGAAAGAATGAGGATTGAAAGCGGAGAAGGGACTAGTGGCACGAAGAAGGATACAGACGCTGAGCTTGAGAAGAAGATCAGCGAGTGGGTTGCTAACTTATCGTTGGGTGAAGACGAGGAGGCGCAGATGTATGTGCCACAAGAAGAGAAGGAGGCGTTTGCTAGGGCCCTCGAAGTAATTAAGGACCCCCTTGAACGTCAAGAGGCCAAGGAGGAGAAGAAATTGGAATGGAAACTGAGGATGAAAAGGGAGCAGAAGAGGAGAAGGGAAGAAGCCAACCGGTTGACCGCAGAGGTGGAAAAGGTACGGGCGTGTAGACAGGAAGTCCAGGCGCATGCAGATATGTCTGCCAAAATGGACAAGATGTTGGGGGACTTAGAGGTGTTGAGTGAGGCCTGGTTAGAGGAACGACAAACCAATCAGGGCCAAGACATCACCCTGAAGGCCATGCGGTCAGGGTTTAGAGAGTTTGCGCGTGAGATTGTCACCCACATTGGGGGCGAAATCAAGCAACTGAGGGATAACATAGGGAAGGATTGCGAGGGCGCCATTGAGGGTGCAAAAGCTATAGCCGCTGTAGAGGGCGAGGCCAGACCTCGCAAGGACCCAGTCAAGCTCAAATTCCCAGATGCCTATGGAGGGAAGAAGGAGGAGAACTTTCAACAACTATATTTACCTACAACACATCCTGACAGATGAGCAAGTCCTTGTAGCCTTTCAGGCCCTGAAGGATGAGGCGGCTAGTTTTGCGAGGTCCCTTGCGCGCGCAGCTGGTTGTGAAAACAACCTGGTTGCATATTCTAAAGTCACCCCCCTCTCTCAATTCCTCAAGCTCCTGAAGGAGCGTTTTGCAGACCCAAAGAGAGGCATTCGTGCCTCTCATAAGTTGCAAACAATCCACTCACCACAGTGGAGGAGTGCAAGGGCACTCAAGGGCGTTATGGACGACCTGGTGGCCGTCCCAGACCATTGGGTCACCGGGACCCAATTGGTCCAACTGTTCTATCGTGCTATGCCAGAGCCCCTAAGGGGGCACTTCTTTGACAAGTCCCAACAGGTCGGGATCACCTACGATGTGTTGAGTAGGGAGGTGGTCCTGTATGAGTTGAAGTCAATGTCAGTCACCACTTTCTGGCATAAAGACTTGGAGAAGGGGAAAAAATGGAAAGGCAGTACCATCTCGGGCCAAGTAAAGGCCAAGGATCACATGATCCTGACGTTAGAGGAAGGTGGTACTGACGAGGTCCTATATGATCAGATTGAGTGGGGCCTTGAGGAGGGGGACAGTAGCTTGGGACAGGGGAGGTCTTATGATGTTGTCGCGGCTGGAGGGAAGCCGCAAGGTAGAGGACACGGCCAGGGCCAAAGGGGCCAGGCCATGGGAGGCCGAGGACCGGGCGCACAGGGGGTTGGCGGCCAAGGAAACCGCCAAGTGGGAGGTAGGGGTCAAGGTCCCCCATCAAAACGCCAGGGCAATTGGTCCCCACAGCGAAGGGGTGGAAGGGCACCTCAAGGAGGATGGCACCCAGGCTTGCCACAGGGTAGGCCCTGGGAAGACTTGGGCTTGGACCAGCGATTATGGCAGGAACGCATGAACATGGGTCAGTGCGTGTTTTGTGGTGACCCAACTCACGTAAGAAAATTTTGTCCAAAGTATAGACAGGCCCGTTGGGCTGCCCAACAGTCAAAAGGCAGCCGCCAGTAGGGGTTGCAACTGCCCCTACTTCGAGGCCATGTGGAGAAGTGAGCGCGCGCGAACAGGACACTCCCAACCCACATGAGCTTATGGCAGAGGTTGCAGGCCCGTGCCTAGCTAGTTGTCCAGAGACCGCGTGTGTTAGCGTCTCTTTAGGCACGTTCCTCACAGGTGTGGCAGAAGAGTTAAAGGAAAGGATGCCAGTCTGGGCCAAGATGAAGAAAGAGAGTAAAGGACAACTGATTTTGGTAGATGTAGAGGTGTTTAGAAGTAGAGTAGGGGCCCTTATAGACTCAGGGGCCACCCGCAGTTATATTAGCCGTAGGGTGCTGAAGAAGCTGAAGCTAGGACTAAAAGTCCAGAAATTGGCAGACCCCATAGTCAGTGTCCTCGCAGACAATCGCACAATGCATGATGAGGACTATGTAGAGGGAGTCCAGGCGTACTTTCGCCTAGAGAAAGATGGGAAGGTGGAGAAAGTTCTCCATTCCTTGACTCTCCTCGTACAGGATGACCTCCCCTTCGACGTGGTATTGGGAATGGATTGGGGGAGGCAGCAGGGGCCACACTCCATTTGAGAAAGCATGAGTGTAGGCTCCCTAGTCCGTCCGGCGAGGTTAAAACTGCCCGCCTGTTTCACGTGTCAGGTGTAGACAACACCTTGGCACATTGCTGTCTCAGTGCTCCCGCGTTCGCGCGATTAGTCAAAGAGGAGCAGTTAGAGGAACAGGTCTTTGTAGTTTATGTTAGACCTGTCACTGAGGCCCAGGAAAAGGATAGTTCCACAGATCCAACAATTGCCAAG